TATTTGTATCCTTGTGAGGATTGTCTTATAGGAGCACTAGTAGTGCATGAGAACCCTGTTTTTTGATAGCTGCAGTACAAACTCAGACCCTGTTATTCCAGAGTAAAAGGAGGATTCCTGCCTCAAAAATATATGTACTGAAACAAGGGATGGGGAGAACAAATGGACTAAGAAATAACACAATATTGATCAGCACAATATGGAGTCTTTGCAGCAAGATTAATTTGATATCTCATTTAAGTGTAACTGTAATGAAACAAGTTTCATCAGATTTAGAAGTGATACTTCATTAATTTGGCCCAAAGCTTTTAGCTATATGCTTTATCAGCCCAGGCACAAAATATGTACAACAGCTCCAGACAAAACTTGTTTGGGGTTTCCTTGGCCCAATAACTAGTATGGCCCTGATATGGTTGTGCTGATACCCAGATGTGCTGATAACCTGCTGAAGAGGCGCTTGCATTGACTGGATTACTGCTTACCCTGATAGTACTCCCTCAGTCCTGTTTATTTCATCGTTTGAATTGTTGTTTTGCTATAGTAAATTTGGGGAAAAGGTCTTGGAGGAATGTATGAGCATACCATTTTAATGCTAATGACACACTCGTGGCTGTTCTCAGGAAAAATCAAAAGGTCTGCAGACTCAGGCTACGAAGTATTTAATTTAGCCTGTTGCAGAAGTATTTCTTTTCCAGTGGAGCACGCAGGTGCTGTTTTCTTGTACAACGATACATGTAGGTCTGAGCTGCTTTTTAAGCTTTTGTCCCTAATCAGAAGTTCACGTGATGTTCTTGCCATCATCTCTCATCTCTTACCGATGTCCTTGGCGAAAGTCCAGTCTGACTAGAAGGAGCAACCTCTAAAACCTCATTAGATTTATTCTCTCTTCTCAGCAGAGCTATTACAAGCCTGCTTTCTGTCAGCAGTTCTCTAGGACTTGCAGCACAATTTGTGTACCAACTCATCTATGCAGTCATCCTCTCATATGCGAAGAGCCACATGATTTTCTTTTATGTTGCTTCATATGCAGTTATGTTACAGGTGAGCCAAACCGACTGGTTCAGAAATTAAAGAGTGAGCTTTATGGTGAGGGCTACAGCACAAGTTTGATTTTCCCTTTAACAAAACATTCACTGTTATTCCCTCATCCTGAATCTGTAAGCTGTATTTTCATAGTAACTTCCAGAACAGCAAGTCGGCACCCCTGGAAGTAGCAGACCTCTTCCTGATCCATTTATTTGTGGCTAGGATCGATAATGCACCCATGCCTCCAGTTTGGCAGCGTCATGTAATATGCTGTAGGCTATTCTCCATTACACCACCCAGCCAGAAATGAAGATGATATTTAGATTTCTTCAGTGAAGCAAGAGCTCAGTATCTGGAGCAGAACTGGGAACTCAACCCTTATCTTTATCTTGATAAAAGCAAGATTTTTTTTCCCACGTATTTCATAAGCCAATGTAGTATAAAAATAGGAGTGAACACAAGTTACAGTTCAATCAGACGTCAGCCACTTGGATCATTAAAATGATAAGGTTGAAATGCAACGGTCTGTTCACGTTTGACAGTCAGAACAACTTAGACCTTACATTCTGGTATCCATTTCTCTCATATCCATTTCTCCAGTAAAGCTATCCAGAAAAATTGCATAAATCAGATTGTATTGGTGAGGATAAATGAATTATTTTATAATACAGCACTCAGTTCAGAAAAGTCTAAGCAACAGCTGTCCTACGCTGAATAATACTTTGTTAGAATACCTTTTCATCACTGAAGTTCTTCATCTCGTTTGCATTTGTGAATATATGTCTAGTAATTGGAATTCAGGCAAGAACTACCAGTGTATGAACTGACCACAGATTCTTCTGACACGGTGCTGTGTTAAAAATCGTAGTGTATGTGGGGGGAACTATGTCACTTTCTTTGTGTTACTTTGTTTTTATATATCTCCACTTTTTGCACACAGATGCTCCTTGTTAATTAGAAAGGCAGCCACAATACATGATCCTTCTTAAATAAGTGTTCCTTTGTTTTTGTGAATAACAAAATGAAGTTCTGCAAATCAGTATAACATGTTTTTGGCAAATTACGCAAATGCATGATCAGTAATACGGAAATATTCAGAACAGCAGAATATAGGGCACAGTAATTTGGTATTGCCAAACCAGAAGTTCAAAAATCATGAGTCAGGTCTCCTAAAATTATAAACCTTGTTTAAAATTACGAGCTTAAAAAAACACACGTGGCTTTATTCACCTTCTGGCTTTTTAATCTTTAGCATATGTTCAGATTACGCTTTTAGGATTTTCCATGTAATTTGCAGAGCTAATTTTTTTTAATAAATAAAGTAGCTGATTACATCATCTATTTACACAACTAAAAACAGGCTACCTCAGATTGATTAGACTCAATAAAATCATGGAAGTTGTCAACACTGATTAAACTAATGCTTGATGTTTCAAGGAATAATTATTTTATAATTAAGTGGTTTTAAAGTGCATTTATTTACATAGACTTCTGACAGTTTGCTGAGGCATGATTAAAAGCTGAGGTTAGTATCACTAGTGCTGACTAGATAAACTGGTGTGCTGTGCATTTTAGGCAGCTCTTTACTCTCCTGTAACTGCAGCCTTTTTTTCTTGCAGCCAGTGCCAGCTCTACTGACAGTAATAAATAAGGGACTTTAAAGCAGATAGTTTGCAAGTAATCATAGAATCACATCAGAAAAGGACCTCAATAGGTCATTTAGTCTCATTTTGTGTCTAACCAAAATCTCCTTTCTTGCAATTTAAGGCAATTACTTCTATTCCTATCAATTGTAGATATAAGAAAACGTTATTCCAGTTTTCTTTGCAATCAGCTTTTATATATATGAAAATCATTGTGTTTCCCTTCTACCATCTTTTCTGTAAGACGACCTAAAAATCATTCAATCTGTGCTCAAAAGCTAAGTTTTCTTGGCTTCTAGACATTCTCATTGCTTTCTCCTGGATTCTCTGCATGCGACTTGTATCTTATTTTTCAAGTGCTGTGATCAAAACTGGAGACATGACTAGCTCACGCCTTAGCAGTTCTGAAGGAGCAGATTATACTCCAGTTTAGACATTTCAGTTTTTACCTTAATTTGAAACAGCCTGATGTTGCAGACTCGTTTTCAGAATTTGATCCAAAATAACACATCGATTCTTTTAAATGGAAATGAAGCAGCTGTTCCTTTACTTGCACAGCTAATTCCAGCTTGCACTTGTTCCTATTAAATAGTATCTTACGTTTTCAGATCATGTCTGCACCTTGCCAGGAATATTTTGAACTCTAATCTTACCTTCTAGTATACTTCAAGTCGAACTCCGGTTGGTCTTTGAAGGATACTCTATGTGGTCCAGGGCAACCGAGAATTTTGTCTAGAACTGCTGTGAATGGGGTTAAACAACATACTGTAATTATTGGCAGTAACTGTAAAGCTGGAAGATTAGGGTAAGTCTTAAATAAGGGAAATGGCGTACTCTAAACACAGGCAAAGACCAGTACTTCATACTCAAAGGTCAATATAATTTGATTAATCTCTCAGATTCACTTAAATGCTTAGTGTGAAAAATTCTTACAATAATTGAACTGTAGCAGTGCTATAGATTTCTCTTATTCTGACATTCCTATGATTCTTTGATTTTTATTCATCTCAGTTTTCCCTCTTGTCATTCTTAGCAGGTGAACAGGAAAAACGCGGGAGCAGATGAAGCAGGTGGTAACTGGAACTTCACCCTGTTGCCGGGACTGTTATTAACTCAGGTATAAGATGGAATTAAATGAGAATAAGCAGATTTGTAATAATATTTTATTAAAGATACTGTATCAAAGCACAGAATAAGCTTTAAAGATGATGAAAACTAACCTGGAATGTCTTCACTGACACTCTACATAGACTACAAGTAATTGCTAAGTGACAGAACAGTCACAGCCTGTTCCAGATCTCCTACGCTGAGTGTACTGTTGAAGGCCTATCTTTAGGTGATGCTATAAACAGATTTGCCTTCTCTTCTCTGCTTCATGGTGGTCCTACCATGAAGGTCCTTCCTGTTCTCTATGGAAAGGACAACCCATTTTCTATTAGATTATTTCCCAGCTATATTGTGCCTTCTCCCTGCGGAGGAGTCCCCAGTGATGTCTGGAGTTGCCCAGGTATTCACCGTCTTCCCCTTTGCTCCAGCACAACTACTGGGACAGAAGTGTCAGCATTCCAGTATTGCACTGAAGGTTTTTACAATGCCTATAGTCATGTTTAAGGTGTTATGTGTTAATAGAGCCAGTACCTTCAATATCTATATGCTGAAATGTTTGGGGCTATGTAATTAGATTAAGCAACTACATTCAAAGATATCTGAACATCTTTTCTTGCATTCGTATAGCAACTTTATAAACTCAAAAAGAGTAAAGCAAGCACAGACACATGCCCTATACAAGCTGCAATACAGACAGTATTTTACACACTTCGTAACAACATTAATGAAAATGATGCCAATTATAAATAAAATTATAGACAGACTCTTCTTGCGATAACAGTTATACTGAACAATGAAACACCCTTTTATAGTCATGAGTAGAATTAGTAAGATGCGTAACTACAGCAGAATATAGATCAGCGTGTTTAGTCTGCTTACATGTCTCAATCTGATCCACTGTTGTCTGGGGGAAGCAAAAGAAATGAGTATTTTTTTAATCCATGCTGGCCCTAATTTGAAACATTTACTGCCTTGTTGGGTTTTTTTGGTTAGGTTTTTTTCCCCATTAATTTAGCTGGAAACATTAGGATTCCTAAAATGCTCAAATTGAACATGAATGCCTGATTCTTTTCTTCAAGCCAGCTTTTGCAACTTAGATCCAGAACAAGGTGCACCCTGTGCCCTGTGAGGATTATTTCACATTTACTCATCTCCGTGTTGGTAAAATTTTTTCACCATTCTTGTAATAAGACCAGAGCACCATTTCTTTACTCTCCACATACAAGCACTGTGCTCCATGGAAGGTCCTCTTCAGCTTGCAAATGATGTTCATGGCAGCAGGGGGAATCAGGTCAGCTGGATCTTTCTCACCATCCTGTCCTTCCTCAGGGACCCTCTGTCCTCAGTTCTTAGGATTTTTTTTTTCACCTTGTACTTCAGATTAATTTTTTTTCTCTTTTTTAACACTTGATAGTTTAGCATCGTAACTGTCTGAAAATACATACATTTTAGTTCACGAGTAAACACTTCTAATGTTTGAACTAAAAAATCTAAACAGTTTTTGACAGAAACTCTAAGAAGCCTCATTTCAGCCAAGGAGCACTCCAGCACGTGAATAGCAAATTCTGCAAACTCATTTCAGTGCAGCCCTTAACACCTGGCATCTGCCTCTTTTGGCTGTCTGCTCCGTAACAGGTGTAAATAATAGTCACAAGGAAGTGAGTTTTATAATACAGAGAAGAGTCCAAAACAACTTTTACTGCATGTTCTAATTTGACTGCTTTGGTGCCTTTTGCGATTGCTGCAGTATGTCAAAAAAGCAAAGGTGGTGCCAATTCAGATCTGGCACACGTGGTTCTGAGTTTTTATGAAATCTTTTGCCGACCAGTTCTTCCTCATGTCTTCTCCAAACCTGGTTCTCTCAGTTGTTCAGAAGCTTAGAAGTCCCTATTTCACTACTGCCATGCAGAAAAGAAATGCAAGAAAAATATTAAAAGTCAGAAGCCCACACTCCAGTTCTGTATTTGCTAGCATGATGTGGTCCCTCCCACCTCACTATGGTGTGGTTTTGCTCTAAATACCCATCCTTCAGTTATATTCAGAGCACCCACCAGAGTCAGGAACTATGTTTAAAAGCCATATAGTTCATTTTCTTCAACCCCTACCCCACCAAAACACAACTTGACCCTAAAACAATGCTTTGCTCGTTTCAGAAACTTTTGTTTCTTCCTCCTTTGCCTTCCATTTTCAAAACAGCTAAAGATTTGCTGAACAAAAACTTCACTCCCCAAGCCTCCCAGAAGTTATTTTTGATACTGTATGTGTTACTTTCCAGCAGTGGTTTATGGCTTGGCTTAGTGGATGCTCAAAAAATTGCACGAGTCTTATTTCCCCTCAGCTTGCACTTCTCATAGCTTGGAACACCCCCACCCTGGAATACTTCTTGGTGCTTCATATTTGCCTCTGTTTGGCTTGGTTTTTTTCCTTGCCTAACTTAGAGGAAACTTGCATATTTACTTAATCCCCCTCCTCAAATCCTTATTCTATGTTAAATGCAGATAAATTCTATTAATATTTACAATTCCTGTAAGTCTCCTTTGGCCAAACTAATTTATGACAAATATGAACAACTTTGTATCCGACACGAACAGTCAAGAACCTGGAAACGTGGTTGTAACTTTAAAGACAATCCTCAGGGTTTTTTTTGTTACACTGACTTTTTCTCTAGGTATGTAAATCGCATTGTACAAAGTATCAGATTGTCCCACTTCAGGCTCATTTACACTTGATGTTTCTATGCACACTATGGCAGCCCTGGACCAAGTAGTTGTATCCACACTGCAGAGCAGGAGAAACTTCAAGGCTGCATGTGAAGCCAGGTTTACCAGGTGTCCACATCACTTACCTGCTACAGCATCCTCAAGGCCAGCTCAGGGCTGAATTTCCTGGCACACCTTTGAGAGGAAAGCCTTGGGAGTGGTGCTGCACACTTGAGTGTGCATTATGGGACACCCCATGTGACACATGGCTGGGCCCTCACAGTATATGCCAGGCCCAGAATTGTCTGTATATTGTATCTGCCCTCTGTGCCATGTCACATACTTGATGGTGGGCAAAAAAGCAATCTGGGACAAATGGCTTTTGTTTCATGCCAGGAGCGTGATGTGAACATGGGGAAACAGGTCTCAGGCAAACTGCTAGCTTCAAAGTACCGCTGGTTCTGGCAGCAAGTCCGTGTGTCTACCTAAGACATTCTTCGAATCTTGGAGGGGAATTCATTGGACTGATGCTGTTATCTCAAAGTAGCTCTTATTTGACTAGCTCAAAGATCAGGAAATGGGGTTTTTTGTTTGTTTGTAAACTAACAAAGGAGAAAAAAAGGTATTCTAACTACAGTATGCATGTTAACATTATTTTTTCCTGAGGCAAAATCAGTGATTAACATTGCTGTTTATTAAGATGCTGCCCTGTATTTTACAGTCAAAGATCTCTGTTGTCTGCAGATCATTCACAGCTCACGCGGCATGACTGAGCTTCTTTACACCACCACCCTCAAATACACCGACTACGCTGTGCGGGACCACCTCTGAGTGTGGGAAGGTGGGTTGCCTGTGAATATTAAATTACATTTTTCTGATGAGACTGCAAAAATACTGTTAATCAGTGCCAAGTGTGGTGGTGTGGTGTACATACAGAACTGTGAACACCAGAGAACTGCTGGCATTGGCAATAGCTTTCAGCCCACAGTAAGCCAGATTAGAGGTAAAATGTTGTGCCCTCCTCCCAGACATTAAAATCCTCCAGCTACCCTAAAAACAGAAGCTGTTTCAGGAATGCACAGCTGCAAGAGGATCTGCTTCACTCTTCACACAGTAAAACTCTGCTCAACTGTAGAAACGTTTCAGCTTTTAAAATAGAAATATGCCCGTCTCCAGTAGCCACCAGATGGAGCTCATACCTCCCCATCACACAAACCCATGAACATCTGCAAAGGTAAAGCCCTACAGAGATGCTACGGAGGACGCAGTTTCTTCCACTTCATAAAAGTCAAAGGAAGTCTGCGATCAGCTGGATGTTTACAAATAAAAGGAGGATTTGGAGACAGATCAAAGATAACTCTCCAGATTTGGCATGATATCAGGTTCCTGTACTAATAGCACCTGCATGGGCTTGAGTTATATTTAAGCGGTTGAAAATGGTGTATCTCATCATGTATTAATGCTTTTTTAACGCTTAGCGCTGAAGATTCAGCCAGCTAAGGACCTGAAAAAACAAAAAACTAACACCCCCCAGCTAACAAGGCTCCATTTAAAAGAGAAGCATCCACTGGGCTCTACCTCATCCTGCTTTCTACAAGGGAAAGGGAATCAAGAAGCAAATGCAAGCGCTGTTCCAAAATCTGAAGAATGTGGTACTTCAAGCTTAGTAAACAGGAGCAGTAGCGCTCAAAGCCTGTTCTCTAATGATCTAAATAGTCTGAATGGTCCAATCATACCATATATGCTTTTTACTGAGAAGTCTATAGTTCATCCAGGATGTCAGTGACTTTGGCACAGCCCCAATGACTGGGGAGAAAAGCAGATCTGAGATAAAAGATTGTGGTGTCTGAAATACACTGAGTTAATATATATGTGTTTCAAGGGACATCTTTGTTTGGACTCTGTGTTACAAACCAACACAGCTTGTGAGGTCTGGAAGGCCACAGGCTATTCCTACTCTCATAGTAGTGCTCTGTTTGAAGCTAGTATTTCTATTTGGGGTCTAAGCCACACTGAACTCGATCAAATAAACATTCTCCAAAGGAAACTGCCTTTGAACTATTTAACTCTTTGCACAACAAACTAAGGCTGAAAGAACTGTAACAATTACTGTAAGATTTCTTGTGTCTTAATTGACTTATTTTTCACTTTTTAAGTTACTTTTCATCAGGACCTCTGTCTTTTCTGGCAGAACCGACCACATTAGCAACAGCCAGTAAAAACTAAGTGAAACACAACCCTGTCTGAAAGCAGACTAGGTGGGGCTAATCCTCATACTTCCAGGCATGCAGACCGTGCCAGCGTCGTGTTTTACAGCATATGTAAGTGTACACAAATTATATTTAATCTACCTGATAGCAATGCAGCTCAGAGATCTGAGCTCTCATGTACTAAGCCAATTTCTTCATCAGTTCAAGGGATCTGACCCTGTACTTCCTCTTTCTACAATTCTACTGTATCTATCCTTTTCCTGAAGGAGGGATATTCTAGATTTCACCTCTTAAAATGCTTCCACTTTGTATAAATAATTAAATAACCAATGTCTAGAAACCAGAACCTCAGTAGTTTGGTAGCTGGGACTTTCTACCAGTAGGTACCAGCAGGAACTCCATGGGCAGAGAGGAAACATGAGGCACCGTCGTTAGCATCCTGAATGTTCTAACGATGACTTGTGTAAAAGGAAGGAGGGTAACCAATACCAGAACTCTGGTGTACCTATTGTCAAAACCGAAAGTTCTACAAGGTATTCAGAAAACTCTATTTTTAGCCAGAGTATCTGCATTTCCACAAACTTTCATGGTCTTGGGGCTTTTGCTATGGAGATAAGGACATTACATCATTTCTCCCGTTCATTTTCTGGGGAGTCAGAAGCAGAAGTCCCTCTGGTGACCATCCCCAATGTAGCGGGATGGTTACCTAAAAAAGGAGAGAATAGGTATTACTGAGTTGTGTAGGTTCAACTGAACATGTGAGAACTATAAAAAAAGGCAAGTTCTTAGTACTAGTCAGTGCTTTAGAACAGGAAGAAAGCACATCTTCCCTTTTCAAAAAACAGGGCAGATAGAAGAGCCAAAAAGATGAATTTTTAAAATGGCAACTTTATCATCAGGGGAGGTTGGGGAGAAGAGAAGGGGAAAGACTGATTTTTTGCATCTTTCATGTTGGCAATGCTGCTGCTGCTGCAGAGACCTTGGCAACTGCTGACACTGGTGGCACTTTTCCTGACAGACAGGTTGAAAAACCAAAGATTTGCAGGCAGTCCTGATTTCCAGTGGATTTGCCACAACCCACACAGCTTCCAGGACTCGGGGGCCTTTATGGAAGACTCTCTTCTCATTCCCTGTCAGGAGTCTTGGGATGTCTACAGAACAACAAGACATACTTATCTGAGATCATCTCTTACTTGCAACACAAAAAAAAAGTACACCCCAAAATCTCATTGATGTAAATCACAGCTGAGTTTGAGTAATAGCAGGACTTTGTCAGAGAGGGAAGTTCTTGAACAGCTCTGAAAGGGACAATTTTTTTTCTCTCCGGTAGGAAATGCCACATGCTGCACTGTTTTTGTGTTGTAGCTGCAGGAGGAGTTACTAGTTTTAGTACGCCTGAAGGCATGGGAAAGGATTAAACCTTTTCGTTTTCCTACAAGAGAATCAAAGATAATGACCACTTCTGAAATTCTAGGTGCTTGGGGTGAGGTGTGCCACGCTAGCTACACAAAATAGTCAAAATCTGGCCTTGGACTATCTGCTGATTTCTCATCTCTTAATTTTGTTATGTTCCCTTGAATACATTAATAAGAAACTTTAAAAGAATATTTCCAACTACTTTTATACAGGGAATATGCACAAATTACTGAAAATGGTTTCTCTAAAAGCATGATGCACAATATTGTTTTCCTATGACTTAAATAAAAAAAACAAACCTACAAGACATTTGAGGGCGAAAATGACCCAGAGAAACATCTGAGCATTTCTCGCATACAGTTGGCACTGGTCATTCAAGTACATGAAAAGGAACGTGGGCTGTTTGTTTGAGGGCTGAATATTTATAGTCCTGATGAACTGACTCCTGAGTCATGAGCTCTGTTGCCCTGCAACAAATTAAGATTTGTCCTTCTGCGTGAAAAAAATAAAATCACAATTAATTCCAGAATTGTAGAAGTGACTAGAAGTGGCTGAAGACATTTAATTTATAAA